TCTCAAATATTCGTTTAAGAAATGGTCTCGAGCTTCAACTGGGCAATTCCTTTTAATATGATAAAAAATACTTCTTTAACTATCTTCCGAGGCTGGTGTTCCGTGTTGATGATAGTTGATCCATTCGTGAATATAGTTCTTTAGATGTAGTTTTAGGATATTAGTTCCATCGATTTGGAAGAAACTTTTAAGTTTCTCGTATTGGATTTCACAGACGAATTTGATTTCTTTTGGGAGTATCACCAGGGTGGTAAGTGATTTCTAAGAATAATTTTCTTTTGATTTTCACTACTCAACAATAGAGTATTGATTATTTAATTGGTTGTGTTTTAAGATGGCTGGTATATCAAAAATGATGGGTATAATCTCTCTACGAATTTCTTTCTGATTATTTTTCCGAATTCGGTCCAGGTAATAATATTTACGAGCTTCCTGATGTTTTCGTTGTAGATTTGGTGTTGTTGGATTTTTCTTCCTGAGTATAATTATTTAACAGTGATTATATGTGATAGTTCGCATGCGAATATACTAAATTTTCTTTTATTGCCTTCTTTAGACATTAAATAGGATTAATATTCTCCTTCCGACAGATATCGTGGATCTTCCCTACTGTAACTTAATTTTTGGATTCGTTGAGATCGGATTTCGTAACCGTTCTCTCCAACAACGTAGGTGGTGATTATTTGTTCATTGATGTGATTGTCAAGGTCAATTTCGATTTCGTTTTCTTTTAATTTTTGTAAAGTTTCTTTACTAAGGTAATATGTATATTGTACAATGATTTTTGCATGCATTTAATTAATTGTCATTATTTAATTCGTTGCTCTTCGGGACTATCTTCTTTTTGATGATCCTCTTGTCGCGACTTCTTCTTCTTTTCTTTAAGTTCGTGTCACTTCAGGATTCAACGATTGTGTTGATCCTCCTGCTGTGAGCACCAAAATGAGACAATGGTGCTATTCGGATATAAGAGTTATGAAAGAGCATTATTACTCTTCAACTTTAAGATATTTTATAAATAGAATAGTTTATTTTAAGAATTATAATTCGGTATGATGTTTAAAACTAAAAGATGTTGTGGATCTTC